AAAAAAAAAAAAAAAATAAACACCTTATAATTATCTTTTTAATATTTTCTTCTTTAATTATAATTTTTTTAATAATGAGAAATAAGATCCTACAATCATTTTCTCATATGGATCATGTTTGTTTTTATTAGATAAAAAATTTGTTTGAAATGGTTTTCTTACTATTTTATGAAATGATTTTTTTAGTATAATTTTTTTTAAATTTAAAATTTTTTTATTAAAAATTTGTTTCATAAAACAATAAAAAAACTATCATAGAAAAAGCCAAAAAAAAATTATGCCTCTTTATATTGATGTGATGACTTCAGCGGGATAAGGACTATTATCTTCAATAACCAGAAGCATTTATATGTAGAAAATTGGCAGTTAAATGAAGCTTCTTGCATCACAATTGCATCACAATTTATGAACTCCATGTATAAATTTCTATCATATTAAATATTTACTGTTCTAGTAAAGACAAAAACTAGATATGACAATCCAGTTGGATGACCTTTCTGCATTACAATTAGTTCTGCGCTATAAAACCAAGGAATATATTCATTTAATTTTTTTTTTGGGAAATTTTTGGGGCTTCGCCCTTATATTAAAACCAAAATGGAACAAAAGTTTTTCTACCCAACAACAAAAACTGGGCAAGAAAAACAAACATCAAGAAAGCAGGAAAGACTAAGAACAAAGCAAAAAAATAGAAACAAAAGAACTAAACCAGCATAGGCCGAAAAGACCTCGGACTCAGGAAAATGGAGCTAACAGGGAAAGCAAACCATCATCGAATAGATCAGCAGCTAACGGTCCTCCATGGTTGCCAGAGAGATCAAAATAAGCACCTGAGCCTGAACTGAAGGCAAAACAGAAGAACGACAAGCCAGGCCATCCCAAGGAGCAGAGCCCTGGTTGCCACCAAAAAGCAATCTGATAAGCTGCACAGCGGGCGGAAAATGGATCAGCTCCGGTAGAGCTGTTTTTTCTAGAGCTGTCTACCTCAAACTTGAGAACTGGAAATATTGGAATTTCATAAAAGAACATTTACAGCTGAGATACACCTGACTGTTATGGCTTTGTTTTGCTGTTTCACTGATAGAATTGCTGTGGTTTTGCTCAATTTGATGTTTGGTTTTGAACGTGATGTCTTTTTTCCTGGACCGATGGTGATTGGGCTTGCTGGTGGCATTTGTTTGCTGCCCAACCTGCTATTAATACACGGTTTTCTTTGGTTACTGTTGCTGTTTCTTGGCTCGTGCTTTGGCTGACTTTTTTCCGGGAAGCTCACTACTCTATGTCTTGCCAAATTCCTCTTTGTCTGATTAAGTTTTGCAAACTGGAAGGCTTCTTTGCCCGGAAATTTTTGCCTTCTCTTATATGAATGGTCCCTGGGTGTTCTGGTCCGTTGGTGGCATCATTTTGCTGCTAAACCCTGTTCGGATGCACGATTCCTTCTTTGGCGGACTATACTTTGGCTCGGTCACTCGCTTCTAATCTTGCAGGCTATTTTTTTGGATCGCGGACGATGATGACGCCTTCTTCCTCCTTTTGGATGGTCTTCGGGCAACCAAAGGAGAATATGACTGCTATTCATGATCTCTTTGATTAGTTTTGAGTTCCGACCAGACAGAATTTCTGTCTGTTTTTGCCTCTTTCTCTTATGTTGTATTTATTACCTGTTGCATTTTGCCTTAGCTTCTTTTTTGTTGGCTAAGATAGTTGTTTTTCTTTGTAATGCATAGTTCTTTTAATAGAATGGGCAAATCCCTCAATTCACCCCAAAAAAAATTGCTCGGTACAAGCCATGACACATTCATCAAAAATAAAAATAAAACTGTACTAATACATAACACATATCATGCAACTCAATCAAACAAACAAAGTTAAAGATCATATAGATTCATAATTAATCATTTGAAACTAATAAATGCAACAACAAATCATTATAACAAACAATTGAATTAAGAGAATTGTGTAAAGTGGTTGAATCAGTAATCCTTTTAAGAATTCCTCAATGCTGTGCGATTCAAGCTGGGCAGGTTTGTTCTTGAAGAAGTGTGTTATGATGAAGCTTACCTTCATCAAGGTTCTCTGGAACCCTTGCAGGATTAGCTAAGGGACCTTTAAGAGCTCCTCTCATGGTTCTTCTGGTCATCCTTGGTTCATTATTTGTGCCTTTCTTGCTGTAATGCATCAGGAGTTTATCCACAACCTCTTCCTCCTCGTCACGGCGACCATCTTTGGTGGCCTGTACAGTTCTCCTACTGCCATGTCTTTGACGATTACTGGAGGCCTGTTTTATGATGAATTTTTGCTGATCATAATAAGCCTCACCATGGAGGCCATTCGTCCTTGTTATTTCTCTTCCTTGCTGATCATAATAAGCCTCAGAATGATCGTTACCCTGATCTTCAGTAGACTTCTCATAGTCTGCAGGATTTGCATAGTTAGCGCCGTTTGGAGACTTGCTTACGTTGGGTTTCCTGTAGGGAGGCTGAGAATTGAATGTTCTGCGACCTGAAGCATTTAGGGGTCTATGAGGCCACTTATCTTCAGAGCTTGGGAAGTTACCGTTAGAGCATTCTGGTAGTTCGGTGTATGGAGGAGGTATTGTATTGATGGCCTTGAAATCTCTGTTCACAGCGTCTGTAGAAGGTTGCCTTTCAGTAGCAACCAGATTAATTCCCTCATGAACCCTTTGGAATGTGCCGCGTGCATTGCCATCAAATATTGATTCATTTTTGTATTTTGTTTTGAAATTAGTCTTTATATCAGGGTGGTCAGACTTGGCATCCTCTAATACATCTGCAGTCATCTTTACGGTCTTCTCGGTTCTATCCTGTGCATGTATATTGAATTCGGTTGGAGTTGTCTGAAAATCTATCTGCTCTTTCGGTTGTATTTGATGCTTCTGCGGAGATCTCTCGGGAAACTGTTTCTCGTTCTCTTTATTGACTAGTTGATGTTTCATTGGATTGCCCTGCCAAAGAGCAACGTATAACATGTGATTCTCCACAGATTAAATTAAGATTTTGTTTAGGACAGCTTTCTTTCTGCTTTTTAAAGCGACAAAAATTAAAAAATTTTATAAAAAAAGTCGCTTTAAGAATCAATAAGAAAGTCATCCCAAACGAAGCCTAAAACAAACAATAAGCCAACAATAGACAGTTTCCTAAATGTCTATTTTAATTAAGAATGTAAAAGCATTCACAATTTCTTACATGACTTGGTGCAGAGTGATTCGACATTTTGTTCTCAAACATATTAGAGTTCCAATTCACGGAAAACTCCTGGGCAATATCTTCCATTAATTGCAGCTTCCTGATCTTTGAAAATGATTTCTTTTGCATCTTCTCAACAAACTGTAATACGAATAGAAAGATACCGGTGATTTAGATATGGAAGCAAAGCTGGAGCATGTTTAGGAAAATGATTAAAGTTTAAAGATTAAAAACCTCTTTGTCGATGCAAGATTCCATCAGAGTTCCATAACGCTTTGTAAATACACTCCTGAGATCAGCTAATTCAGGCAAGTCTGAGAATCTGGCAGCAGCAAAAATCAGAGTTGCTATAGCTTCCATGGCTTCCTTAGGACACTCCCTATGTCAAAAGAATAAATATATTATTTTCCAATTATTTCATATATCGTCAACTCATCAACTATCTCTTCGCGGTCATATGTTCAAATTATGCCATTAAGTTTGTTTAGTTGAAAAGCTTAGGTAGTGGCATGAATTGGATATCAAGCCCAGGTGAAAGGGTTCATTCAGCATGGCTTGTTAATATCAGAAGGCCAAATGGGTAACAGAAGACATATTCAATCAACTCGGCTGCTAGGGTACAAGCCTAACTATATAAGATGGTGCGAAGTCTGTAAAGCCTAGTCAATTAATTCAGTGAAGCCGCATTCCCGGTAAGGGTCGGTTCCTTTCTGGTTGTACTTGTGTCAAGTAACATAAGCAACATAAAAGCTAACCTGGCCTAAATTAAGAAACAGCATAAGATGGAGTCGTGACCTAACCTAATTTCTCTTAGTTCCATACAAGCATATCCTCCTAAAACACGTCGTTTTACCAGAATCGAGCCAATCTAGCCTTGCTCAAAAGTCAAAACCACTTGAGACCTTTTTTAATTTGCAACTGATAGAAATTAAGTAAGCTAGAGCAGCCTTTGGGTTCGTAATTGACATTCAAAACAAAGAGAAATAATAAAACTTCAGCAAAGATCCAAAAGTTGACACCTGGAACAAAGGTTGATTGGGTCAAGATTAAGATTAGATTTGCTAATGAAGTTTGATATATGAGAAGATTAAAAAACTAGTGGATAAAATAATTAAAGGAAGAAAAGATATAGCATATTTAAGAAAAAATAAATGAAAAACAGATATTCATGCATATTGAGCATGTTATTAACCGATCTCAAAAAAGTTAGGATATGGATAACAATGATTGTAGAACAAAGAGATGGGTTTTCTAGCAACTTCAAAAATTATCACACTGTGGTTTATAACCCGGAGGATATTCTGCTGGTTTTTATTTGTTGGAGTTGCCTCGAATTTGGCTCGACCATTGTTTGTTCATGTCCTTGACCGTCATACGCTTTGCAAATATGTCACGGGTCCAAGAGGGTAGTGCCCCCTAGCAAGGTTCGACCTGAAGTTTGGCTGTAAGGGTAATTTTGGAATTCTGTTGGTTTTTATCTGCTGTCCTAATTTTGCTCTATAAATATACTGTAAAAGGCTTAGGGTTTTGGAAGCCGTTTGTATTCCACCTTTTTCTTATGGTGGAGCTAGCCTCCCTCCTCCCCCATGGTTTTTCCCATATTTGGGTTTTTCCACGTAAATCCTTTGTGTTCGTGTGTGCTTTACAGATCATGATTTACTATTTTACTTTGTGTTTGATTCATCATTCCCTAACATTATTTGAGCCAAGAATTGTTTGAAATCCAGACTAAATTTACAAACTTGTAATTTACCAGTAGAAGAACCCTATCACACAAGGACTCTCAAATCACTCTCCCTCAGAAGCTAAAATGAAAATCTAGTAGGATGCATGATTTGGAGTAAATTAGGATCTCCATAAGGGGCAAAGTTATGAAATTTAACTTTCAGAAGTGCAGAACTTGAAAGATTAATACCTCTGCTTGCACATCGTCGAGATATTCTCCAGGAGACATCCACAGTATTGCTCAATCATATCATAGCAAGATGCATGATTTATTTCAACAATAAGTGCATCGATCTGCTCAAACAAAGCAAGCGAAATGCCAATTCAGACAGACATCATGATGACATTGCTTTTATAAGAAAATTCAACAAGAAAATGTATTAATAAGTTAAAACTAAAGAACAAATCCAACTAAGCAATGGCCCTTCTCAAAACAGAGGTATCCGGCTTCCTTGAGCGGAAACTGCAGACTCAGCAAGCTTGTAAAGCTTACAAGTCATCATGCAAAGCTCTGCAAGCAAAGAACACACCTATGCAAAGCATATGAGCTTGCAGCACCATATTATTGACCACTAAAATGGAATCTTGTTGCACTAGAAAGGTCAAAATGAAGGTAAAGAATGAACGGATAGTAACTATTTGCAAATTAAGGAATTGTTCACAATTTGATTGGGCTGTCCATTTGATTGTTTTTTTTTTTTTTTCAAAGTGGATCTCACAATAGAAACAAAAGATCAAAACGTAATATAATCTGACCCAAAAAAAAAAAATCGTTCACGTCTAGTAATCGTTCACATCATTACTTCGCCCTAAAGTCTAAGAAAAGTAGAGAGCGACTATGACAGCTGAATCCAATCAGTTACAGCACAACTAAGGTGCTCTCAAATTAAAGATGAACACATATCTGTTTGTTAGGCGGCATCCCATTAGTTGCAATGAATCTCAAATGTGTAAAGTAAATCCAAGGACTCTTGCTCTCAATTGCATAAGAGAGAAGACCAGATCAGCCCGTAAATATCCTGGCATGAGCTTCGAGATCTTCTGGATCTTTGTTGATCTAAGGGTCCTTGACATTAGAAGAAAGTGTTTCCACTCATCCACCTCTCCTCTTCTCAGAATAATTTCTCCAGTCGTTCCCTTTATAACTCAAGAAGTTCAATCTTTGGATGTACTATGCTTTAGGGTGAAGATTATTTTAACCTCGTCTGACTCTTTTTTTTTTGTCCATAAATTCTTCTTCATTACTTATAATTGTACTAAGATACAATGTATACTCTTAGTTTCCAACAAAAACAGCTGAAACCCACAGAACAGCAGAGAAAATTATAGAAGAATGCAAGCCAAGTGCGGCAAAAGGTGAAAATCCCTAGCCCTTAAACATACACACGCATCAGTGCATCACAAACTGAAAATTATCAATGCAAAAATCAAAGGCTCCTAATCAAAACAGAAGGGAGCGTCCAGAATCAGCATAGCGACGCAAATTCAAAGAAAAAAAAAAGCACCTCACGAATCATCTCACAAAAATCACCTCACGAATCATCTCACCTGCCTCATAAGGAAAGAAAAGAATCCTTACCCGACCAAAAGCATTAGCGTCGTGGCTACGGGCGAGGAGATCGGCAACGTCCTGCTTCAAATATCTCACCATCACCTGCTTCTTCTTTCGGATCGTCTCTATCCTGCACTTGATGTATTTCACCGAATGCTTGCTGCAGCCAACAAAAACCAAATCAGTTCTTACACCAACAAGTAACCATCAATCCAACCCAAATAAACAAAATCCGCAACTGAAACTCACCATTTGTTCGAGAACTTCCGACCTATCAGTATATCGAACATCCTTTTCCTTCTCTCTCCTTATCCTTTGAACGCGAGGTGAAGCTAAAGTGGCTCAGATCGGCGAACAGTATCTTGCTGCGTTCCAGACGATCAGAAAAAGGCTGCTCGCTTAGGAGCTGTAGGAGGAGCAGTAGGAGAAGAAAAGGCTGAAGGAAGAAATAAATAATAACGAAAAATAAAAAGAAGTTTCTTATAATTTGACAAATTATTTATGCAAACTTAGGTCTCTTTATGACGACGGACTTTCATTATTATATTTTAGGGATACTTTTTTGTAAATGTTCGTTTGAAGTTGGACGACAGTTATTTCTTTTGGGAAATGGACGACGGTTATTGCATAGCTGTAAAGAAAAACTAAAATCTTGTTTGAATTGAATTGTTCAACTCTCCACTAATTCTTAAGCATAATTTTTAAATTAAAATATTCTTATTTAATCATATAAAAATTTATAATTAACAAAAATTATTATTATATAAAATTTTAATGGTCAATTTTGAATAAGAAAATGTTGATTTTTTTACTTTTAAAATCCTTTTCATTGTTTAAATTAGGAGGCCAAACAAACCTATATATGTAACTTCTACCATGTAATGCAATCTATATGATGTACATTTGCTACATCAATCCAAGGCCTTCTCCTAAGGAAGGGCCTCATTTGTAATCGACTACAAATACTAGTGGATTCATTCAAACTGGGCCAGGCCCCGTGGTTTTTCCCCCTTTTCAGGGGTTTTCCATGTAAAAACTCTGGTGTCTCTTATGAATGTTACACCCTCTCACTTATCTGCTTGTGTACTGGATCTTCGTACAATGCTAAGACGTTAAACTAAATATTTCTCTACCGCCGCGAATATTCCAGGACGCAACATAAATAAACAAACAATTTGTTATTTGCAATAAAACAAAGTTAAAGTGTACGTTGATTTAGTAGTTTTTCATAAAAATAAAAAGTATGATAATCAAAATTTATTGAGCATAAATTTTAAAATTTTAATTTTTTTCAAAATTATTCTAATATATATGTTGTGGGCTAGAATATACGCGGCAGTAGAGTTTGTAATTTTATGTCTGAGCATTATACGAATATTCAGCACACAAACATAAAAGGAAAATGAACATCATGGCGGGAGATTTGGGCTTCATTTGGGACGACTTTTTATTGCTTCTTAAAACGAAATTTTAATACATAAATTTTACTACAACTCTATTTAAAGAAGCAAAAAAAAAAAATCGTCCCAAACCAAACAATAAAAAAGTACACCAAACTTCTATAAATTATATTTAATAAAGAAAGTACTAAGCTTGTGATATTTAATGAGAACAGCAGCCCAAATGAGCATAGACCAAACTTCTATAAATTATATTTGTCAATGCACTTCATAAAAGTATTTTTAATGTTTGTATTCTTAGAAATATTATCTTAAATAACTTGCTTCTTCTTATCATCCTCTTGAACAACATATTTTAGAACACCTGATAAAACAGCAGGCACAATAATATAACCGTATATATGTACTAACGAGCATCATTTCAATCACCAAATAGCTCAGATATAATCCAATTCCTTACCATTTACGTAACATTTCGTAAATTGAATGAATTCTATGGATGGAGAATTCAAATTTTGCAGCAACACATCCTGTCATTACCGTTTTAATAATTAATAATATTTTTATGAAGTGAATTAAAATAATGATTTAATAATCATCTATAAAATCAAATTTATATCGAATTACCTCAGAATCAGGCACTTGAGAACATACAGTTGCCTTCCTTTGGTTCGTCGGTGATCTAACCGGAATTGGAGTCTGCAAAAGCTTTGCCAGTCGCTTTTGCCGAGTACTCCAAAAATTTTTGACATCGTTATCCGTTCTACCTTCAAGGAATGTTGCAATTCGAGCCCATTTGTTCCCAAATCTTGCCTGCATATCGATCACCATGCGCTCCTCCTCCAAAGTGAATTTGCATCCGCTTCACTCGTCAAGTCAACAAATCAGAACAAACGACAATTTGAAAGGAACAGGAATAATGAATGATGAATAGAATAAAAAACTAAACTTTTTTCCTTTTTGTTTACGAAAAATCTGAACTTTGAATGAGATTACCTTTTCAAGTTGGGTCTGAGTTTGTTGACCCAGCGGAGACGGCAGGATTTGCCCGTTCGGGGAAGAAGACCGTTGGATTGAATGGAGCTCCAGTCACGAGAGCCGTTCTTTTTGACGTAGTCCATAAGAACCTTATCTTCTTCCGCCGTCCATGGCCCTTTTTTCATAGGCGCCGTCGCCGGCGTCGTCGCCGTAGCCATCGGCGTCGCCTCTCCCACCTCCAGAGGCGGGAGTAAAATTCTGAAGGAAAACCGCTCCCACGTCGCTCGCGCACGCACTGACATTTAAATAATAGGATAAGGCCTCGTTTAAAATAAGCTTTATGTTATTACCATTTCTGGATGGGTTCTTGTATGATCTTTCCCTGCTTTACATATTATTTTTCATGCTTCAAATTACATATTCAAAAAGTCTATAATACAAAGTGAGGAAAAAACATTTCGTGGTCTTCAAAACAGAGGAAATCCCAAAATCAGACAAATTATGTAATTTATGAAATCATTCCGAGCCTTAGAAGACCGCCGAAGAAGATTGGCATGGAGAAAGCGAAAGGTTACCTGAAAACTGTTGGGTAGATGGTTTCGACTAGAGAAAGATGATGAGTTTTTGCGTTCGTGGAGAAGGAGATGAGCGATTGCTGTGTTCGTCGAGAGGTAGATGAGCGGGTGCTGTATTCGGGGAGAGGGAGATGAGCGGGAATAACTGATGCGATCGATGAGAGAGAAGAGGAGATCGTAATGGAAAAATGGATTGAGCTCTCGCAGACGAAGTAAAGCCGATGTGGGAGTTCCGGGTGGAGGAAGATCAGAAGAAAGGAGTCGTGCGGCGGAACATGGGGTTGGACGTGCGATTGTGCCGGGTTAATTTGGACATTTTCCAACCGACACTCCGATTCGTTAAGTATTAAGCAGGTATTAAGCCGACAGACTAACAAATATCATATGTATGATCATTTGCCCATCCGGCAAATTATTGCGTCAGGTGACCGAACGCATCTCTGCGTTCGGTCTCTCTCTGTCTAAAGTAACCTGCGCTTTACTGTAGCAGTGCTACAGCACTGCTACAGTAAAGCACAGGTTACTTTAGACAGAGAGAGACCGAACGCATCTCTCTGTCAGGTGACCTGATGCAATAATTTGCACATCCGAAGATCGTCCGAGAGTGAACTTTCGTTACATAGCTGTCGGCAACGAGCTTATCTCCGGCGCTCATCCGGAGATCGTCCTCCCTGCAATGAAGAATATACAAAACGCCTTGCAGGCCGCCTGCAAGGCAGGATGAAGGTCTCAACTTCGGTATCCACCGGCGTCTTCGGCGCGTCCTACCCTCCCTCCGCCGGCGTCTTCTCCTCCAGCGTCCACGACACTCTGCAACCCATCTTCTCCTTCCTCGCCAGCAACAGTGCCCCCCTCCTCGCTAATGTTTATCCTTACTTCAGTTACCTCGGAAACCCCAACATCAACCTCAACTACGCACTCTTCACATCGCCGGGGACGGTGGTCACCGACGGGCCGTTGCAGTATCAGAATCTGTTTGATGCGATGGTGGACGCATTTTTCTTGGCGCTGGAGAAGATGGGCGGTGGCAATGTCAACCTGGTGGTGTCGGAGACCGGCTGGCCGTCAGATGGTGGCGGTGTGACCACACAACAGAATGCGCAGACTTATCTGTCAAATCTGATAAACCATGTGAATCAAGGACGCCCAAGAAGCCGGGAGTTAACATTGAGACCTACATTTTCGCCATTTTTTATGAGAACATGAAGCCGCCAGGGGGAACAGAGAACCATTATGGGCTGTTTAACGCCAACAAGAGCGCAAAATATTCTTTCCACTTCTGATTACGCAGAAGCAGAAGGGTGATGCGGCCATTTGCCTGCCTGAATAAATTGGCTGTCAAGAAGAAAAGCTTGTTGTATCTTGTATGGGAGAAAAATAAAAGGAAAATAAAATAAAGGTTTAATTATTTTCTAAACAATATTAATTAATGTTTATTTAAAAAAAATTATAAACAACATGTTAATTAATGCCAAGAAGAGAACCTCACTGCCTAAGTACTGAAGCAAAACAGAATATTCAGTAAAGACTAATTCTTCACTGATATTAACAAAAACTCGAAGCGGGTCGGGTTCGGGTTCAGAAAATTGACCCGTTTGCAAAAACAGGTCGGGTCAACCCGAACCCGAATAGTGCCGGGTCAATTTCAGGTTCGGCTCGTAACTCGAAATTGAAACCCCTACTGATGAAATGTAGAACTTATGATCACATTGATTTGGGGAAAAATATATAGTAAGAGAGAGAGAGAGAGGGAGAGAGAGACTAATGAAACACCTTATAATTCTCTTTTTAATATTTTTCTTCTTTAATTATTATTATTTTTTAATAATGAGAAATAATTTTTTTTTGGGTAAACCATAATGAGAAATAAGATCCTACTATCATGTCCTCATATGGATCATGTTTGTTTTTATTAGATAAAAAATTTGTTTGGAATAGTTTTTTTTTTCTTATTATTCTATAAAATAATTTTTTAATATAAATTTTTTTATTAAAAAATTATTTCATAAAACAATAAAAAAATTTATCATAAAAGAAGCCAAAAATAAATTATGCCTCTTTATATTGATGTGATGACTTCAACGGGATAGGGACTATTATCTTCAATGACCAGAAGCATTTATATGTAGAAAATTGGCAGTTAAATGAAGCTTCTTGCATCACAATTGCATCACATTTTATGAACTCCATGTATAAATTTCTATCATATTAAGGTTTAGTTTGGAACGATTTTCTTGAGTTACAGTAATTTTTAGTAAAAAAATTAAAATTTTTAATTAAAAAATTACTTTAAAAAGTAGTGAGAAACCTAAATATTTACTTTTGGATAAAAATAAAAAATAAAAAACCCAAGTCATGTTGAAACAGCCCAACTTTAGTTCCCATCGCCAAATAAAATCATGAATTCAAGACTTACATATAAGAGTGCCAGCTTATCATTTAGGCTTCATTTAAGATGATTTTCTTAATACTTTTTAAAATAGCTTTCTAAAGCAATAATAAAGTCGTCCCAAACAAAACTTAAATTCACTGAGAGCTGCTAAAAAAGTTCAAAACTTTATAAAACCAAGGAATATATATTCAGAAAATTGCTCGGTACAAGCCATGACACATTCATAAAAAAAAAAAAAAAAAACTTATACATAACACATATCATGCAACTCAATCAAACTAATAAATGCAACAACAAATCATTATAACAAACAATTGAATTAAGAGAATTGTGTAAACTGGTTGAATCAGTAATCCTTCTAAGAATTCCTCAATGCTGTCTAATTCAAGCTGGGCAGGTTTGTTCTTGGCGAAGTGTGTTATGATGAAGCTTACCTTCATCAAGGTTCTCTGGAACCCTTGCAGGATCAGCTAAGGGAGCTTTAGGAGCTCCTCTCATGGTTGTTCTGGTCATCCTTGGTTCATTATTTGTGCCTTTCTTGCTGTAATGCATCAGGAGTTTATCCACAACCTCTTCTTCCTCGTCGCGATGACCATCTTTGGTGGCCTGTACAGTTCTCCTACTGCCATGTCTTTGACGATTACTGAGGGTCTGTTTTATGATGAACTTTTGCTGATCATAATAAGCCTCAGAATGATTGTTACCCTGATCTTCAGTAGACTTCTCATAGTCTGCAGGATTTGCATGGTTAGAGCCGTTTGGAGACTTTCTTACGTTGGGTTTCTTGTAGGGAGGCTGAGAATTGAATGTTCTGCGACCAGAAGCATTTAGGGGTCTTTGAGGCCACTTATCTTCAGAGCTTGGGAAGTTATCGTGAACAGCAATGCTTCCATTAGACCATTCTGGTAGTTTCGTGTATGGAGGAGGTATTGTATTGATGGCTTTGAAGTCTCTGTTCACAGCGTCTGTGGAAGATTGCCTCTCAGTAGCAACCAGATTAATTCCCTCATGAACCCTTTGAAATCTGCCGCGTGCATTGCCATCAAATATTGATTCATTTTTGTATTTTGTTTTGAAATTAGTCTTTATATCAGGGTGTTCAGACTTGGCATCCTCTAATACATCTGTAGTCATCTTTACGGTCTTCTCGGTTCTATCATGCGCATGTATGTTGAATTCGGTTGGAGTTGTCTGAAAATCTATCTGCTCTTTCGGTTGTATTTGATGCTTCTGCGGAGATCTCTCGGGAAACTGTTTCTCGTTCTCTTTATTGACAAGTTGATGTTTTATTGGATTGTCCTGCCAAAGAGCAAAGTATAACAGGTGATTCTCCACGGATTAAATTAAAGTTTTGTTTGTGACGATTTTTTTTCTGCTTTTTAAAGTGACTTTTCAATACAAAAATTAAATTTATTTTACTAAAAAATCGCTTTAAGAATTAGTAAGAAAGCCATCCCAAAAGAAGCCTAAAACAAACAATAAGCCAAGAGTAGACAGTTTCCTAAATGTCTATTTCACTTAAGAATGTAAAAGCCTTCACAATCTCTTACATGACTTGGTGCAGAGTGATTCGACATTTTGTTCTCAAACATATTAGAGTTCCAATTCACAGAAAACTCCTGGGCAATATCTTCCATTAATTGCAGCTTCCTGGTATTTGAAAATGATTTCTTTTGTATCTTCTCAGCAAACTGTAATATGAATAGAAAGATACCGGTGATTTAGACATGGAAGCAAAGCTGGAGCATGTTCAGGAAAATGATTAAAGTTTAAAGATTAAAAACCTGTTTGTCGATGCAAGATTCCATCAGAGTTCCATAACGCTTTGTAAATACACTCCTGAGATCAGCTAATTCAGGCAAGTCTGAGAATCTGGCAGTAGCAAAAAGCAGAGTTGCTACAGCTTCCATGGCTTCTTTAGGACACTCCCTATGTCAAAAGAATAAATACATTATTTTCCAATTATTTCATATATCGTCAACTCATCAAC